GGGGGGGGGGGGGGGGGGGGGGGGGGGGGGCGAACATGGAAGTATGAGACACACAAGGGATATTAATATCATTTTGATCAAGCCTGCTGGTGTAGTGTAGTTTCCCGCGAGACAGGGGGGCCGCGGAGTATAACTACCTGTGTTTGAAGGACGTGTGTGCGTCTCACTCAAGCAGATATACATGTAGGTAGCATCGATCGCGCTAATCGGCCGACTACAGCAGTACGTGGACAAGCCGAAATTCTTCGAGCGGGGGAAGAAAACAAGGAAACACTACAGATTCCCCCGGAGGGGAAATGTTTTTTGCAGAGGTGACGCCCACGTGTGAGGGTGTCGGCGGGACACTTGATTAACACTCCGTTCGGCGTTCCGGTGGGATAACAACAACAACTGTCACTACCACTACCACCACTACCACCACCACTGAGTGAGGTGTACGAATGCCAGACGGTCGAAAATATGGCACGCCAAGCAAAAAAAACGATCACCGGACAATATGGCACGCCAAACATACCCTGCCCCAGGAGAAAAGAAAAAAACTTGAGTAGAAAAAGAGACGACACACATGTGGGACTTGGGGGTCTCCTGAACCAATGCGGCTCCTCCTCATCCGTCTTTGTGTAGCGGCCAACGTCTGCAGGATAATCCCCCCGACAGGTAAATGAAATCATCTACAGTCTGTACTCTGTGAGGAGGAACTTCCGTCCATGACCTCGATGGCCGATGGCTGTCCGCCTCATCTCACTTCCTTTCACTATTGTACCTGTCTCTGATTTTGCCCCAGACCTGTCGACAGCGTGGTCCTACCCGCGCCCCACTTTCTTTGTCATTGCCCAACGTGAGAACACCTTGCCCACCGCAAGAGCAAGAGGGTTCGTAACTCTCCACCGACCGGCTCAAGTTCTTCACGCCTACCCTGGTTACTACAGCGGTAGGTAGGGGACATCCCAACGCTGCTGGAGGCGCACCAACCATAAGACGGTGTCGTCATCGCCATCGTCATCGTCGGTGTTGTTGTTGCGTCCACGGCGAGCGCGTTGAGCTCCCCGCTGTTCTATTCCGGCCAGCGCTTCTTCCTCATCGCCTTGACGTTGGGAGCACGTCTCATACTTATGGTATAGACTACTGTACATATGGGACGTGCCACCAACATCAGCGCCGTGAGGAAGAAGCACAGGCCGAAAGTGGAACACAGCAGGAAGCTTAGCCCGCTCGCCCGCCGTCGACGCAACAACAACGTTGACGTGATGTGGCTGATGGCTAATGGCTGATGGCTGATGGTTGGTGCGCCTGCAGCAAGTTGTGATGTCCCCTACGGTAGCGACCAAGGTAGGCGTGAAGAGGAAATAAAATCTCTCCACGTCAGTAGCAGCGAGT